TGCATCTTGTCCTTGTGTAGCTGCCTGCTCAGGAAAACCGACCTGTGAGCTGCCAGGGCTGAAAAGTTCTCTCATCTCACTTTCCACCGAGCTGTGGGCTACCCTGGCCACATCGCCTGTCGCTTGTTGAACAACGGAGGAAGACAACGACGTTACAGTTTCGGGGGAAGCGAGAATATTTCTTAGAACACCAATGGCTTGCTGCAGTACTCGTCCTTCATTTTCTCCGTCCATGCTTGTCGGAACTTACGTGCATTACCTGTGCTTAGCAATCACATTGCATTATCTCCCGCCGTTTCTACAGTACTGCTTCCGTTTCCACTATACTCATGCACGCACACACATATATTCTCCTCTCAGTGGAGGAATTAATATATGTATGTGTTAGTAGAATATATGTATGTATGAGGAGAATATATGCATGTGTGAGGAGAATATGTGTATGTGTAAGTAGAATATATGCATGTGAGAGTGAAAATGTATGTGTGTGAAACGTCGAGAATACATAATGTCTTATACGGCCCCTCATAGTTCCTGATTGGCTTATCTTTGTACATGAGGGATTTGGCCCTTCTTTCCAATCATGAGGAGAACATGGTGGACATCATAATTTATTACATATATAATTATTCCCTCTTACATAAACTGTTATGCAAGAATATAATGAGAATATATGGTGCTGTCTGTGAAAGGGTAGGCCTATGATGGTGTATATGAGAGTATTGTGTGTGTTAGAGAGAATAATAGTTCAGTAGGAGAGTATGGGCGTAAATGACTGAGTCTCATGGGGCCTCTCATAGAAAAGCCTCTGCTGTGAATGCTTGATGGCCTCAAAGGTCCAACAAGTTCAGTAGTGTCCTCCCTGATAGCTACAGTAACATATTAATGTGAATGGTTTAAATAGACTATTTCTGGAGACTTGTAGCCAATGCTGAGGTCTGCAGAACACCACACTGTAGCAACTTGGACAAGAGTAATTATATAACATACATGTTTGCAGGACGTTTGGGGGTTAAAACTTTGTATTTTGGATCACAGATGTGCAAGCTGTTTCATTTTGATGTACAATAAAAGGTTAGTTGGTGTGGGATGACACCAGACAACACCTGTTTGTCACAAGGTATCGAGTGTTTATTTGCATGCAACCAGTACATGTGACAGTGATGCAGCTGCGGTCAGTCTTCACCGTCTGCAGGTCACACACTGACATTCACTGTGGCTTTTCTTTGTTTTGTATGAAACAACCTATAGGGAAAGTAGCTGCCTTGCAGTGTTTTCCATTTCCCACATCATTTACCAGGGGTTTGTCCACTTTGTATCTCATTTACAGGGGCACTATGTTTAGTCTAGCCACTAAGGCTGAGTTTAGTCTTGCAAGAGAAAGTTTCCCAGGTGAGTTGCGGGTAGTTTTGTTGTCCGGCAATAGTTATTCATAGATAACCTCCAGTCTTCACAACTAATGATGATTATCCTCTGCTGTTCTGCAGGTGAAACTGAAGAAACTGCTTTCACCTAACAACTGTAGAAAGATAAAGGTTTATCTCTTGATGTCATGGCATCCAAGAACTCCACACTTAAGGTAAAATATCTCTTATATCGTTTTATTTCTGAGGCTGAATATAGCATCGCTTATAATATATTTCCTTTTTAACTGTTAATGTTTTCTTAAACAATTTATCCCTCAATAATTTTTTTAATCTATTCTCATTCTAGTGGCATCTCCCATTAGTCAAGTCCACCCTGGTTATGTTCATTATTCTTATGCCAGGTAAGGTTTTTGATACAATATGTTGTCCTGCCTTGTTCAAAAACATCACCAACAGTCACAAAGAGATAACATGCAGAATGTTTATATCATATGTTGTAATTTATGTGTAATATTGTAAAACAAATAGGCTACTGGGAAATTTTGATTCCTGGATATTGTGAAATAAATTGGAAACAAGTTAATCAAAATCCAAACAATTACTGGGAAATAAAATTAAAAAGACAATAAAAAACACAATACAAGCAGTTTTTTAAATCCACTGTGTTTTTGCTGTTTTATTGAAAATCATATAAGCCGATGTTTATAATTAGACTCACTATCATCAGCTCCATGCAGTACCACCAAGGTGGAATGCAATGAGCCGAATCAACCTGCCCTGCTGGAGGCTCTGACTCCAGTCTTTAACCTGAGCACCATACGACCCGTCATGAACTTGACAACCTGCACCAAAGTCAACACATTCTTCACCTTGTATGGGATACTAGGAGTGGTATGTTCAGCTGTCAGTAGATATCCAGTGTACTGTGTGTATGTATGAGCTGCACCATTTATTATTTTTTGACACTTCTCTCAGATTCCAGTGTATAATATAACAGGTTTAGCATTAACAAGTCAGGTCTATATCAGGAGAAACTTTGTTATAATATACCGTATTTAATAATGAAAATCAATAACAAGTCATTAGAGAAGCTGAAACGTCCTCTAGGATCCGTGTTATCTCAAGAAACACATTTAGAACACTGTTATCATTAGCTACTCTGGTTTTACAGGATGAAAAGGCTCAACTCTTGATCACATACCTGTGGCTCGAGTATGTAAGTACAAAATTATCCATCAAAATTTCTGTCAGTCGTGCATTTTTGAGATAACTGTGGGATTATTTTTTGTGAATGGTGTGAGTATTAGGTTATATTTACTCTGTGCACTGATGTCCGTTTTGTTATTTTAGTGGTGGATGAATGAGTTTGTCAGCTGGGATCCAACACAGTGCGGCACCAACAGGATTTCTCTGCCCAGAGACGAGTTTTGGGTGCCAGATATTGTAATCAATCAATTGTGAGTTGCACTCTATATACAATACAGTCATCTGAAACAATACAAATTGGTTAAAGGAGATGATTGTTTTCCTTATTGTAAACAAATCCCACAAAGAGGCCATCTCCCAGGAGTTTCCAACTCACCTACCCTGTGGCATTCAGGCTTCAGTCTATTTATTCCTACTGCAAATGTAAATCTGGACAAACTGTTGACAAATTCATATTGTCATTATTTTAAAAAGCTCAGTATAATAAAAAAACAATGTTTCTAGCAAACATTACTTAAACTGAAGTAAATATTGCATTTTACAGGAGTTATTTTTGGCTGCAGATTAACAAGCTCCTGAGCTCCACTGAACATGGACACTATATAAAATGTTAGTATAGAATAAGCTAATTTATGTATTTATTCTTGTATGCATTTGTAGGCAAATCTAAAATACCCCCTAAAAAAGAAAAGAAGGTTTGACTGTTCAATGTTGTTGCTTTTGTTAAAGTTCTTTACTGTTCTTGTCTTGCAGCATGGATGAAAACACAGCCCCATCTGTCCCTTATGTGTATCTGTACAACGATGGGAGTGTGCACGATAGTCTACCAGTCAGATGTGTCAGCTCCTGTAACCTCAATACCTATACGTTCCCCTTCGACATCCAGAACTGCACTCTGACTTTTGGTTCCTACCTCCATTTGGGTAAGACACATCACAGGGTTTTCTTTGCCTTATACGCCAGTTTGGACAAAAGCATCTGCGAAAATGAAAAATGTAAATGTAAAGAAGCAGTAAGTACAGTAAGTCTCTGAAATGGGGATATGTGCTTTTACTGGCCTTTACATTACATGATATTTGTCTTCTCTGCTCAGCAAAGGACATACGAGTTTTCCTGGGGAAATCTGCAGCTAACATCACAGAGTACTCCAAGAATGTGATGACCACAATGGGGGAGTGGGAGCTTCTGGATATCACCTCCGTCAAACACAACGCAAGCCCGAACGATTTTGATGAGCTTATATTTTATGTACATTCACTGCAATGTCTGTAAACTGAAATGAACAGAAAGTAAAATGTCACAGCCAGATTATTGGGTTGAGCAAGCAATCTTATGTTATGTAAAAAAATATCAGTCCCATTCAAATCATCCTCCTGTAAAGATGTGGGAACCGAGCTATGACAATCATATTTCACAGCACAACATTTTACAAACCTCTGAACCACCTTAACAAACTTTGAACTCACTCCTAGTGCGTTTGTTCTCTATAACAAAGAACTTCTTTCACTATTACTAAAGATTTTGCTACTTTAAAAATAACACTGTATGTTTGTTTAATCACATTTAACTTTACTATGAGCTCATACTTAATGAGTCTCTGTATGCCAATCAAGATTCATGTCATTATGAATACTTTTAAGTTATAATAAGAATCTATAGAAAGTGTCATAATAATATATAGTTTACACCCTGTGGCATTGTTTTAGAGAAATAAGCAACCAAACCAAACTTAAAAGTGCCTGACAGTTTTGTTTTGCTTTGTCCTCTGCAGATTAGTGTGAGGCGCCGACCCACCATGTACGTGGTGAACCTCCTGATCCCCAGCTGCTTCCTCATCACAATAGACCTCTTCAGCTTCCTGCTGCCTCCCCAGAATGTGGACCGGTCCTCCTTCAAGATGACCCTCATCCTGGGCTACACTGTCTTCCTGCTCATCATGAATGACCTGCTGCCCATCACTGGAGACACAATACCTCTCATAAGTCAGTATTATTCCATTTAGAAATGTACTGAATCCTGTCACAACACAATGATTTCTTTTTCAGAACTTTGATTGGAAAGTGCTGCGTGTAGCGTGTAGACTGGCAAATAGATACAAAAATGGGAAAAACATTAAAATACTGTATGATATGAAAACAGTACTGCTTTGAGGGTTCACCTTTCACTTTACTGACCCTTCCTTAGCACCATATGCAAACTGAGGGAGAGAACTAAGTTGTTAGCAGCAAAAACATAATTATAAATTATGTTTTTTTTTTAAAAAACATATATGCATAAACATTTGCCCCCGATGGTTAGAGCCACCCAGGCACCCACCCTGCGCCCAATATGCAGTAAACATTAGATCACTCTTTGACAGTGTAACCCTTTACTGATTCTGGCCTCACCTCACATATTCTCTCTTTGGCAGATGTGTTCTTCTCTCTCTGCCTGGCTCTGATGGTGGCCAGTCTCCTGGAGACCATCATCATCACCAAGCTGCTGTGTGGCTCTTCCAACTCCTCTCCCGTCCCTCGCTGGATCCAAGTAGTTGTTCTGCAAATTCTGGCCCATCTCGTTTGTATGCCTCGAAGGGATAAAGATGCAGGTATTCAATTTTTCTGACAGTTTCACAGTGTTTAAACATTTTTAAAAAATGTAAGATTACAAAAATAACTGAGCATACACAGTATACCTGATGGATTAATATGACTGTTTACTACAAAGTCAACAATGACATTAATGAGAAAAATGTAATTCAAGTATTTTATTCAAGGATTTTAAAAGATCAACCTATTTTTGCTAAAACACAGATGTGGAGCTCAGCTCTGTGGTGGCAAAAAGTAAAGCTGATGAGTGGCCTCCAGAAGAAAGGGGGGCAGCGATGAACAACAAAGCCCTGCAGGAGCTGAGGAGCCTGGGCAGGGACCTGCAGGCCATCCGCCTCCAGGTGGAACAGAAGACGGGTGAAAACCAGAGCTCAGAGGACTGGGTCCAGGTTGGTTTGGTCATAGACCGCCTGCTGTTTATCTTCTACATTCTTTTCATATCAGTCAGCTTCTTTACGATCATCGTTATCTGGGTGAACTCATATGGTCAGTAGAAACAAATCAACTTAAGCAGTGTCTCACATTTTCAATCAATATTTTATCAGTACAGCATAATTTTGTTATTTATATAATCTTCTTAGAGTAAATACTTTTATGCAGTACATACAATATGTTCTACAGTTATTGTGTTACTGTTTATAACAACGAGTGGTCATATTATCAATAATGGACATTGATTAGCTCTACTACAATAACTTAGCCTTTTGTGTTATATTGTTCCATTGTACACAAAATAAAATTACATGCAAAAATTTCTTTCAGTTTTTCATTGACATTTTTTTCAAACATTATAATAATGTTCTAATAATTTATTTGTTCATTTTAGTCAATTTTGGATCCTAATATTCAAAGTGCTCCCACTGTGCAAAGGAAAACAAACTAGTTGGGAAACGTGGTCATCGACGGCTCTTCCATTACACATTCTAGCAACGAAATATATTGCGTAAGATAAACAGCAGGTGTCATTTGATCTTACAGCAAATTCCTAATAAAATGTACAGTATGCAAAATAAGCAGATATAAAACAAATAATGTTGTTAAGTCGGAAAAGACGCATTTAACCAAGCAGTAACTCGTCTTTCTGGTGATGTGTGCATATATTAAATTTAACCATAGAACCGTATTTGAATTATGAGAATGGAATTATTATACATGTATTAATAATGGATATTATATAATTTATCTCTAAAATTAGAAAATACTGTAAGTAAATAAAAATACATTTAAAAAAAATCTAAGTAAGAAGCATTTGTGTTATCATACACTGAGCTGATAAATCATTTGGTACACTACATGGCCACTTTCTATAAACTATACGTACAGAAGTGTAGTTTGGTAATAAACATCCTGCACTTAACTGTAACTGAACAGGTAGAACTGGCTGGGACATAAACCGTATCTCTGGAGGCCATTTTGTTGAGAAAGGAACAACAAAATATTGCAGTTTTTACATTTGGATTGCACAAAAATCCCTGTAAGGGTTCCTCTCAAGACTGAGAACCTTAAACAAATGCACTTCTTACTTTAGGTCTTTAAAAACTACTTCTTTATATCTGCATATTAGGAAATGGTTTTCTACTGCTGGGTGTTTGTGGCGTTCAGGCCTTTTCAGGCATAACACACTTTAAAACAGCAGGTCTCAAAGTGAAAACAACAAAAAAATGTTTATAAAGTGCATTTTAATTTCAGTTGTCACTTAAAATCTGTGATGACAACTTTACAGGACAGCCCTCACACGACTTAAACTAACAACTGTTTTGACCCAGTGTTAATGTTTTTAGTGCTGCCAGCTGAAAGTCAAGCCTTCTATGATTATATTCATCTTCATCTCTGTGCTCGTGCACGGTAAGTACAGCTTTTACTGTTCATGCGGTGATATGTCTAGATATATAAATGCAATAATATAAATGCTACAACAATTCATAGCTTTGTAATATTAAAAACAGGATGACACAGGGAGATGTTTGTCACCTTTGTAGACATTCATTTTTAAGTATAGAGGGAGGACACTGACGTTAAGCACTTCTGATGCCTTTTTATCACACCGCACCCACAAAGGGTGACACTAAACAATCAGCTGAAAAAACAATGCCAGGTGTAACTTATAAACCTTGCATCATTACATCTTTTGCCTCTGATGCTGTCAAAGGATGCATGCTTTGTGCACTTCATCTTAGATACATAGCGATTTTTGGCTCATGACATTTGTTGGGAAACAGCTTTTATTTGCTGCAGGTGCAGCCAATGTCAGGTCTCCTTTAACAATAATAATAGCACATTTCTTCTTTATTCTACAGCTCCATGCAATTCCAGTTCCATCATGATGAACTGTACTCAACCCAACCCGGTTTCCCTGTTGGAGGCTCTCAAACCAGTCTTCAGCATAGGTTCTGTTCGACCTGTGATGAATACATCAACCGCTACCTCGGTCACTGTTGATTTCACACTGTTTGGCATTTTAGGGGTGGTAAGGGGCACAACATTAACTATTAACTATTAAGTAACATGGCTACAGGATGTCAACTTTAGAATCACTGGGTAATTTTATTTTTAAAGTTCAAGAGCCTTCTCTTATTTTGCAGACAATTTTACTGTGGTTCAGCTGGTCACCTTTATGAGTCTCTATGTGGTCAAAACAACTTTCTATACAAGAAAATGTCTGTAAAGGAGAAATGCATATGGAAAATGTTCTCTCTCTCTCTCTCTCTCTCTCTCTCTCTCTCTCTCTCTCTTTTAGAATGAAAAGTCCCAAATTCTGACAACATATATCTGGCTAAATGTAGTAAGTTTTTAATTTACATTCAACTTTTAGTTCACTTGTAATAGTAAAATTTATCATCGCGATCCGGGCTTGAGAATCAGAAAGACAGAAGTCAGTTTGGGTCACAGTGCAGCCTGGTGGGTCGATCCTACTTTGAGCTGGCAACAGGAATCTTAATTACCAGACTGTTTACCCTACTAATGAACAAACAGATCATTTTCAGTTGAAAAGAAGACAATACTGGTGCTGATGAGTAACAAAACCCAATATGGCCACTAGACACCAAGTAAAAACCATATTTTTATGTTGTTGTATCTGTATGATTTGTGTCATAGTTATGGAACAATGAGTTTATCAGATGGACACCAGAACAGTGTGGCTCTGACTATATTACCATCCCACGAAAAGAGCTCTGGGTACCAGATGTGGTCATCGTTGAATTGTAAGTACCATCTACTCTGCATACTGTAATTACAGATAGCTTCACAGAAGACTTTATTAATCCTTAATCATATCAAATTCTGTCATCTCTTATGACTAAACTCAAAATTCATGAGCAGAATATACTGTATATAAAGAGAAAGCATACTGGGTGTTCCTCGATAGCTGAACCGTTATGGTGCGGTGCACCATATATGCAAACACAGTGTGTGTGCGATATCCGGCTTCAGATCTATGTTGCAGGTCCTGCCTGCATCTCTGTGACGCACTTAACCCACTAAAAATAATGAAGGCAAAATGCCCAAAAAGTAACTTTAAAAAAAGAGAAAGCATATAATCAGTCATAGTTACTGGGGTTTATGTCTTTTGTCATCCTGCAGTATGGAGAAGAACACAGCTCCATTTGTCCCATACACCTACGTGTTCTCTGACGGCACCATTTTTGACCCACAGCCTGTTAAAGTGGTCAGCTCCTGCAGGCTTGACATCTACACATTTCCATTTGACACCCAGACCTGCACTTTAACCTTCACCTCGTACTTACATCGTAGTGAGTAGAAATCATTCTTTTTTCTTTATTTTGCACTTTTTTAATGCTATTTCTGTAAAGTGAATGGTGGACATAGGTATAGTTGTAATAATGTATTTATAATTGGATTAATTCTTACAAACGTTTTGACTATGTTCTATTGTGCTTTCAGTGGATGCTGTCAAACTTACCAACTTTACACCTGTGGAGAAAACATTAACAAACTCCAAACAGTCAATGACAACTATGGGTGAGTGGGAACTAGTTGGAATCACACTGGATAAATACGAACGAGAAGATGGGGAAGGTGAACTGAACCAAGAGCTTCGATACTTTGTAAGGAGATATTGTGTACTTTACTACATACTGTATATTGTAACAGTTTACAATCCCTTCTTGTGCTGTTTCATTTATTCACACAACAGGAACACCGAGAGGAAGAGACAGCAAGAGGATTCTTTTGAGAAGCAGTGCAAAAAACATCTTTATAATCCCTAAATTATATTTTGCCAAGACACATTTTTCAAGCATTTTGGGCATAGTAAAACTTTTTAAAATGGAGAAAATGGCACTTTTGCAAGTTGCACAAATTGCTTTATATTTTGCCATAAAACTGTGATCATATACTTCATCGGAGATTAATGTTAATGTAAAAATCTTTTTCTCAAATCGTAGTATATCAACTTTCCTGCTACTGTTTATATGTCAACTCTCCTGCAGGTGTCAGTGAGGCGTCAGTCCACCATGTATGTGGTGAACCTCCTGCTCCCCAGTAGCTTTCTCATTACAGTGGACCTGTTCAGCTTCCTGTTGCCTCCCAAAAGTGTCGACCGGTCCGCCTTCAAGATGACCCTCATCCTGGGCTACACTGTCTTCCTGCTCCTCATGAACAACCTGTTGCCTGTCACTGGAAACACTATACCTCTCATAAGTCAGTTGACAATATCTTTATTATGCTAGTAGCCACTGAGACTGTTGCACAAAGTACTATTACATAGCCTGTACTGTTGCTGACCCAGCTAAATGACATTGTCACTGTGTAAATGTTATGTTGGCTTCCGGTCTCGGAAAAAGAAGATTGTCCGAAAAGAATCATACTGTATAAAATAGATTAAAGACATCGAGCACATGCTAGCTAAATAAAGAAATAAAAATCTGTCACAGTCCAACCATTTCCTGATGTCATTCTATGCATTGCAGAGCAGGTACAAAGAAAGTGAGTTTATGTTATCCTGTCTAGGCTTTTCTGTGAAATTTTAAATTTGATTTAGTCTTAAGTGCTTTTTGGAATGGCTGATGTTTATATGAGGTTTTAATATGAGCATAAGCCCAAATAAAAGAGAGCCCATGTCAGAAGATGTCAAGATGCACTAAACATTTCAAAGCCATCAACCAGAAGTGTCCTAATGGACTACAAAAGACTTAAAAACTCTCAATACTTTAAAAAAAAAGAAAATACTTACCTTTTTTAAACTTTGCTTTTTAAAAATGTTACTATTAATAGAATTTACTGGCTTCATTTTTAACTGATCCAGTTGCTCTTGGCTCATGTTTAGTATCCCTGCTTGTTTTATTGGCCCTTAAACACTGATGTCCTCTAAAGCTGCTGTAATCAATATTTTTCTATTATCAGTGGATCAAATGATTATGTCTATGTGAAAGGGGTCACTTGTAGGAACAAAGGTCTGCAGTGCCCCTACCTCTATGGAGTGTTTTCTTTCAACTCTTTTATTTGAATTTACAGCCTGCATACTGTATCTCAATGTCATTTGTCTATGAAGCAGATTTCTTAAAAACATCATTATTTTCCCAGATGTGTTTCTGTCTCTGTGCCTGGCTCTGATGGTGGCCAGTCTACTGGAGACTGTCCTCATTACCAACCTGCTGTGTGGCTCCGCTCTCTGCTGTCCAGTTCCTTGCTGGATCACAGTGTGTGTTCTTCACATCCTAGGCCGACTGGTCTGCCTTTCTCCAAAGCCCAGGGATCTGGAAGGCACAGTCATCCAAAATCCCAACACACAAGGTAAAATGCCAGACCTGGAGTATGACTTTATGTGGAGAAAGATATTCTTGCAGTCATGTGGATTATGAGCTACAGAATTTTTTTTCATTAGTCAATATATAGAGTCAGAGCTGCCATCACCACCTCCCATGTCTACTCTCCAACAGAAATGAAAATCTCCTCTCTGGTGGCAGAGGACAGCAAAGCTCCAGAGGAGAAAGGACTGCTGGATGAGGACAAGGCCCTGGAGGAACTTAGGAGCCTAGGCAAGGACCTGCAGGCCCTCCGCCTTCAGGTGGACCAGCTGCTGGGTGAAAACCAGACCTTAGAGGACTGGGCCCAGGTCGGTTTGGTCATAGACCGCCTGCTGTTTATCGTCTACATCCTCTTCATATCAGTCAGCTTCTTTACGATCATAATTATCTGGTCTCAGTCAATCAAATCACCTTGATGCTGTTTTTGTTTTAAAAACAGAGTTTGGAGGATTTTGTGAATATCATCTAACATTGTTGCACTGCCATTTTGTTGAATATTATAGGTATAGATTAAACAACCTGAGGGGTGGTTAAACTGCTGTAAAGTTATATATTACATCACACATGTCCACTGAAGTGGCCTCCTTTCACTAGTAATTTAAATGTTTGAATGATTTTTAGGGTCATTTTCTTTTGCTTTTTAAAAACAATTTCTTTTATGGTTTTGCTTTTGGGCACTGATCTTGAAATTCCTGCTAATAATATATGCATACTTCAGCAAACAGCTTGGGGGTTTCTGGTAGTCAGGACAACTCTGTTATTGTGTTTTTAGGAGTTTTTCTATTTGTTTATAACTGAATCAAGTCCAGGAGCTTGTTGGTATATACAGTATATAAACCTTGATGTTTCCCAGCAGCATCTTAGCTGAAAATGTTCTTATAAATGATCCTAGATTCATGTGAGCCTCCTAACCACTCAAAGGAGGGTATCTAAGAGCATTTTGAAGTTATCAGGAGCAGCAGGGCTGCTTTAAATATGCTTTCATTTGAATAGGCAAGCTGTAGGAAGTTCAGTTAAAATAGATTTTATTTCCCATTCATCTTCTTTAGAACAAGGTAGGTTGGACCTTCTAAAAACTCTGGTTGGGTTAGGAGTTGTCTGTTTGTCTTTTTTATATTGTTGATTTCTTTGTGTAGTTTGTTACTTTTGTTATTTGTAAGCCTATGAAACAATCAGTCCTCCAATTAATTACTTTCTTTTGTCATACCCATCTGTTTTTATGTTGCTTCCCTTAAAGTTGTGTTGTAACAGTGAATTGCAGGTTTCTAACTCAGTGCAAAACCAAAAACAAGTGCATGGTTGTTACTCCCATAGGTGGAGCTGTGGAAAAATAAAATGGCTGAGTGGTTACTGAAGGTGTGGAACAACACATCTTATGTTGTCCTGTGTGTTTATATCTGCACATACTGTACCATAGTTTTATGGTTTATAGCTCTGTTCATATATCAGATATCTACTCATATATCTGTTCACCAGGATTGAATGTGCTCAAGAGCATAAATGTCTTGTCTGTGAAACAGTTTGCAGTGTAAGTTTTAAAATATCTTTTTGTTTTACATGAAGTTTATGTAAAAAAGAAATGCACATATATTTTTGTTTTTACTTTGGTGATGTATTTGTAGTGAGTCTGTTATTGGATTGTATGTGTGTGTGTGTGTGAATACTTGCTTTAGTGTTCATCTCCTATGTAGACAATTCCAACATTGGGGTACAAAAGATTGGTTTCTCCAAGACAAACTACCAAAATTATGTCATGGTTTTTAGTTTTTAGTTCTTATTTAAGATTATAGTTTGGAGTAAGTCTCTAGAGAATTACAATGTCCGGTAGGGGGATAAAAACAAGCATCTGTGCACGCACACTGCCAGTAGGAGCTTTCATTTGTCTACAGATCACTACTTGTGGAGGATATCTGGTTCATGAGAAACACCCAGCATGTGTCCATCTCAGCAGATTATCAGTATCATCTCAGGTTTACTCTTAATTTCAGGTAATAACATACTTTTGTTTGCTACTTGTTTGCAGTTGTGTATTTTCCAGACTGAAGCATGTTTAACTCTACATCAGAAAAGTTCCTCTTTATCCTAATGCTGCATTAATGTTTAACATATTAATAAGCAGTGCTGTTATTATTTTAGCAAAAAATGATTGTATTAGTTAATCCTTTAAATTATCTTTTCAGTGTGATGACACTGTCTTTTTCTTTTGTCCAGGTAAATATTAGCTCGCTCACATTGTGTATGACAATAGACAAAGACTAAACTTCATCTTATAATTTATCAAACCATCATATTTCCGTTTTTGAATTAAAAATGAAGGAATTTTCCTGCTTATTTAAGCAGTTTTTGTAAAAACTATATTTTTAAGAAACAAGTTCAAGTAACACACACCCACAATCACTCCAATGGGCAATTTATAGTTCAACTCAATCAATCTAAGCTGCTAAGAGCGATTGTGGGTGTGTGTGGTTATCTGTCTCTAAGGGTCAGCTCTGTGACAGCCTTGGCGACCTGTCCAGGGTGCACCCTGATTGTCGGCCAACCAGATGGCCGACAACCCCCGTGACCCTCCTGAGGATAAGCAGTATAGATAATGGATGGATGGTTGTTCAAGTAATTAAAGGATGACCTCTCTGCAATCAAAACAGCATTTTTGCTACTCTAAATGATATGGAGGATCATAATACTACTGAGTGTATCTGGCGTTTAGGCATTTTGTGTTTTAAATATACAATCATTGTTCTGAACTCATTTAGCAAATATGTCAGTGTGGTTTAGTTCCATTTGAACAATTTGTAAGCAAAGTAATGGTTGTATAAGGTATTATATTTATAAAACAGCTCTTAGTTTCTCAAAATCACTGATAATGGGGAAGTGCAAGAAGTGCAATTAAGGTTAATTTTCTGTAACAACTTCACCGTCTCCTGTCAGCGTCTCTATGTTACAGTAAACTGACGTGTAAAGAAGGCCACAGCGGGCCGACATATGAGTCCTTGCAGGCTGTGTTTGACCTACAGGCCTTCAGACCAGCAGTGAACCTCAGCAATCCCACCATAACCAACATCTCCTTTACCCTGTATGCTGTCCTGGGGGTGGTGAGTTTGTCAATTAATGGTCTGCAAAAAATACCAAACACACTTAAATCTAGGCTGAAGAAGTGCTGAGAGAGAAAATGTCAGGAAACGTAATAGAGATCACCAGATGTTTGAGATCCAGTACCCAGCCTCATATAAGGCTTACCTGTTATTTACTGTATTTTAGAATGAGAAGACCCAGATACTCACCACTTTCCTGTGGCTGAGACTGGTAAGTAGTGTAACGTGAAAATACAAAATAATGTAATGTAATCTGCTCGTGTGCAATTTATCTGTACCTGCAGGCAGAGTTGGGGAGTAGCATGTAACTAATTACTGTAAATAAATAAATAAATGTCAAATAAAGGTCAAATTCAACAGTATTTTCCTTCTGAAATCAGAAAAAGGGCTTTACCTGGTGCCTGTTCAGTAGGCTACATGTTTCAACAATAATATATTTTCTAAGTGAAGTTATGTTGAAGAACCTTTACTATAAGTTTGCCAGTAATAGGTGTCAACTACTGTTGTGAGGTTTACACTGCCTGGTTTAAATTTATGTTAGGACTTTTCAGCTTTATTGCCAGGTCTAATTTTTTTTTTGAAAAGTAATCTAAAAGTAATTAAAAGTAATAAGTTACATCTAAGTAATTAAAATTGTTACATTACTACATTTTTAAGAGGGTAACTAGTAACTAGTAACCTATTACATTTGAAAAGTAACCTTCCCAACAGTGCATGCAGGAACAAATGGTGAATTATAAAATGACAGGCAAGCAGATGTTTTACGTTAAATATTTAACTGCATGGTTTCTGATTAATTCACTGCAGTACTGGCATCATGAGTTCCTGGTTTGGGACCCTGATGAGTGCAATGGTGTCAGTAGGATTTCTCTCCCTGTGAGGCAGCTCTGGTCTCCAGACATCATCGTGTATGAGTTGTAAGTTCTCTGAGGGTCTAGTAAACACAAACTAAATGGCTCATTGCACAGTGGTCATTGTCCTGAGACATTCTGCCTGTTTACATCCTGTAAAATGCCAGAGAGATTTGAGAGCACATCCCAAACAGAGAAAATACTAGTGCTACTGGTTCATGCCTCACACCAACTTACCAGCAGTGAACAATGAATCCCATAAGCACTATAGGAGGTTTCATTTGATGAACTGATTTTACCTTGTGCTTTTCTGTCCCTACGAGGCTCATTTAAATATCATCTCAATGTGCTTTTCTGTTTATTTCTTTTACTTCATGGTGGCTCTTCCACCCCCAACCCTTCCAGTGTGGATGATGATGTTTCCCAGGCGTGTCCTTACGTGTATGTCAACTACACAGGTCGCATCCGCTGGGACAGGATGCTGCGGCTCGTGTCATCCTGCAACCTGGAAATCTTCAGTTTTCCTTTTGATGTGCAGAACTGCACATTTACATTTGGCTCCTACATGCACACCAGTAAGAAGAGGCTTCACACATAGACAGTCCCACATAAACTCAACCAGTCGCAGGCATCTTATTGACAAACAGAACCTACATAACAGTAAAGCTGGCTCAATACAGGTCCGAAAATACAGCCGCAGCATATTACATTTTTGGGATCTTTTGAAGGGAATAAAAATAAATGTATAGTATAGTGAAGGTATGTCCAGGAAAAAATTGAACTCAGGTGCTCGGCCAAAATAGTTACCACAAATCAAACCAAAGAACATATCCACAAAAAGCTAGTTAATAAAACTAACTTAATAATAAGCAATATATAATTTGTTATGAGATCAATCTGGCTAACTTAGTGTTGAGCTAATGCATTTATTTAGGTCATTTTATACTGTACTATAGAACTGTCTGGCCAGGTTTTCCTCTCGCACTGTTCCACAGTAAGAGATGTGAGGGTCAGTCCAGCCGTGACCTTTAAAGAGATGTCTCTAAACTCAAAGCGCTACCTGGAAGCCAGTGGAGAGTGGGAGGTGGTGGACATACTGGGAGAGACCTCCATCCTTCAGTTTGGAATTGATGAGTGGGACATCATCACCTTCTGGGTGAGGGAATCCAGTTTACTGTTGTGTCTGCAAACATAACAGCCATAGATAAGACATCAGGCTTTTAGACAATAAAGCAACAGCAATCACACATCAGCTTTTGTGCTTTCTTACAAAGTGTGTACAACTCACTGCTTCCACTGAACCCAAGTCAGCAAAATAGATTTTTTCATTTATTCACTTTTTACATAAAGCTTACTGATGACCTATACGGTAAAGTTGGTAAAACTCTTCAGATACTTTTTAAGAATCCTTTTTCAGTTTCTGATGACAAAGGATTACATATCCACAAAGATACAATTAAACTGTAAGCGCCTTTCTTGTTGCCTAGGTGGTCATAAAGCGGCGTCCAGTGCTCTACGTGGTCAACCTGCTCATCCCCAGCTCCTTCCTCATGCTCATTGACATCCTGTCATTCTACCTGCCGCCCCACAGTGTGGACCGTGCCTCCTTCAAGATGACCCTGATCCTGGGCTACACAGTGTTTCTGCTCATCATGAATGACCTGCTGCCCAGCACAGCAAACGGCACACCCATCATAGGTTAGAGGAGATATCCTGAAAAACAACACTTAGCCTGGGTTATAGATTCCACCATCACCAGCATCATGATAATCCATGGCATAAATATACAGTAACTACACCCCACAACCCTAAAGCTGCATTGATCAGTTCTCAGTTTAACAATTTGATCAAATGAATGTGTGTAATTTGAAAGGGGTGATTTAAGTTACAGTATCTGTTTTCTGACAATGGTCAGAAAAATAAATCAGGTTGACATTTCTCAGGGTTCTTCTTGCAATCTCTAAATCAATAACAAAATAGTTCAATTCCAAAATTCTCATTACCCAAGCAATGACATATTTAATGAGATGTTAATGTGTGGTGTTTTTGTAAAGATGATGCTGGGAGCTACAAAGTTATAGGCTTGAAAACATATTTTAAATCTTGTAGTTTAAAATGTAGTTACATTAAAACGCCTCACAACAATTTTAGAAATCATGCAATTAACTCCATATGGGGTCTTGTTTCTAGATTGTATTTAAATTAAAATAAATAAATGAATAAACTTACTTAAGTCCTGTGATCACACTTCTCCTTGAGATTGTCCCAGTGAAAATAAGAAATAAGGCAAACCCTAAATGTATTTGTTTTGTGAAGGACTGCTAAAAACAGTTAACATTTTGCAACACTAGGTCTGACATGGTACACTGCAAATACTATAAGACACTCTGCAATTTCATAATTTTGTGCATACATCAGTGCACATGTTCCATCACAAAGACAAACACATACTTTATATCCCTTACTAGTGTATTTCTGATGCAGTACATTTGATTAAAACAGTTGTTTCATAACTGCACAAATAAAGAGATTTGTGCACTATGATCTGTGGTCCACTAACACATATATTAAAAACCATATAAACTTTTTTGTGTGAGAAAATATTACAATTATATTCCGATACAGAAGAGTCTTGAGGGTGAGTTTTGTAAGCTCAAAATATGAGTATCAATCTCTCATAAATATATGTCCTTCCATCCAGGTATCTATTTCTCTGTGTGTCTGGCCCTCATGGTCATCAGTCTACTAGAGACGGTTGTCATCACCAATGTCCTCCATCACAGCTCCATGAAATATCAAGAGGTTCCAAAATGGGTGAGGGTGGTTATCCTCAAATACATAGCCAGCCTCATCTGCTACCGCTGGCCAGAGGTCATCCAGCATCCTTCTATACCAGAGAGAGACAAACCTAAAAGCTCAAATGGCAGCTCAGGCCCATGCATCATCCAGCCAGTCAGTCAGACACCTGTCCAGTGCCCAGCCAGCAACAAAGGTATTCAAACAGACTCCCCTCAACCACTTGGAGCTCCGAGTGATCTCATTTTGAAAGAGTAAAGGCAATTTTAAAAAAATGAAAAAAAGAATAAAAAGACTTAAAGATCTATGTAATATATGTCAGAGATGGATCTCATCTATCACAAGTCAAGCTAAATATAACACTAACCTAAACTAGCTGGAAATCTTCTTTTTCTTTTCTCTATTTCTATAGTTTATCATTTAGAATTATAAAATTATAATTAAAACTCTAATATCAGTTTAAATTATTGATTCAAACTGACTGCTGTAATTTGGTTGCTCAGTCTAACGTAAACCAAATATTGGTATAAGACTGTAATTTAATGTATATCATGTTTTTATGAAATACTCCCAATTTTCATCATTATTAAACAGCATTTTCATAAAAGCAAGTCCAATGAATCCCTTTTCACTTTCACACTAGCCCAATCACATACTAGCTAACTAGTGTTGGCCATGCCAGTAAGAGCCGACATTTACTGGGTGTAAATGTTTAACAACTAATTTCTCTATAAAAAACTGTTTGTGTGGTGCAACATGTTTAAATTTAGTGATGCACATAGTAAACAAATTGTAAAAGGTTTTTCTAACACTTTTTTTTAAATAAGTTTGAATGCTGAAATCACAGATGTAACATGTTCTATATAATCTAAAATCTTCTCCTTCCTATTGCTGTTCCTGTATTAGGTACAGTTGCTCTGCCTGAACTGCAACAGATATGTCAATACCTGGGTGACCTTCACACCCACCTTATCTCACTGCAAAAGGAGAATGAGCTGCAGGACCAGTGGTGCCATGTAGGATATGTGCTCGACTACCTGCTCTTCCGCATCTATCTACTGCTCATCTCCTGCTATGCAATGGTCATTATTTGCATGTGGTGCATCTGGATCAACCAGTCCTAACTGTACACATACATACAGTATATATGTATGTAGTAGGTAAATAGAGCGCCTCCTCCCAAAATGGTGCCCCCATTTCTACATTCAACACTGCGTGACGTACCTTCACATTCTCTAGAAGCACATGTGCATGATGTGATAACCATTAGTTTTCATACCATGGTATACAGTGAAACTGGGATACCACTGCAACCCTAAAATGAAGCGAAATGTTTATCATGTAGAAGAAAAATATTAATGTGTTATATATACTTTAAACCTAATACATGTAAGCTTAGGATCTTTTTTGGCTATGAATTGCTCTATTGCATAGTTAAACAATGAACATTAAACCAATAACATCTGTTTCAGAAAAGTCTTTATGTACTGTACAGCACACTGTCCAGCTGCAGGTGCTGTAAACATTTAACTAATATAATGCCAGTTAACATCATTCATTTGTAAATTGTAATAAATTAAGTTTGCCTGTAAGCCTTCTGCTTTTCTTAAAGCAGCATAAAACTATAAATAAGCTCATGGTTGAACAGGACTGGAGAACAGAACAGAACAGAGTGTAGGTCCCACAGGTGGAGGTGCTGAAAAATAAAATGGGTGAGTGGTTACCAGAGGTGTAATCAACAAGTCCTGTCCTGTTCCTCATAACCTGGAAACAGTTTCATGTAACGATGTGCGTTTCCATCTTTATGTACAGTACTGCCCAGATGAAATGTCCTGCAATTTACAGGGCAGATAATTGCTCATGAAGTTCTTTTCAATACTACAAAACTATACGGACACATTTGCAATATTGCAGTTTGAGATATGGGAACTCCCTTATTTGGTTGAGGATCGTATTAAAATACACCAATAAACTTATCTAAATAAAGACTTATCTGTTCAAATGTTAACTGTCAGATGACTCAAAAGCTACATCATTAAAAACCACGTTTCCTTAATCACTTCTAAAAATCACCAGCATTGCTGTAAACTGGGTCGCCTCTCACCATAACCTGTACACTACAAATCCAAAATCACCCTGACAGCTGTCTTCAAATCATGTCATTGTGCATTAATAGTTTATACTGATCTGAAAACAGTCACTCTGAGGTTTTCCACATAGACAAATGTTCCAGTGTGTTAGATTACATCCAGTAGATGGTGCCAGTGGTTGATTGTTGAAGCTTTAATGTATAAAGGATTTGGGCATGGAGGCCATTACATTGTTGCAACTATAATTTAGCAAACAATACATCACAATTGTCCCCCCAGTCCCCTCCCAGTCTCTGTAGTTGTCTGATGTTTTACAAACTAAACTATTAAGAAAAAAAACCATATTGAAAATTGCTCGTTGCAGCCCTGCTTCAGTTTTGTATGCATTAGTAATCAGCTTCATGATCTCGACTTGTCTATTAACACACAAAAACAATCCATGTGAACAGTCTAGCCAGTCTTTTATTGTTGACAATTACAGAACAGATAATCATAATAACAATAATCTTTTTAATAATACACTTTAACCTGCAGTGCACTTTAAGCCTTCTTCAAACGCCCCATGGCAAAGGCAGCCCAAGAATAAACAGTCAGTTGCAAATCCGTTTTTCCTCACAACCTCCTATCATTAACTGGGGAGTGAATTTCATTTATTAAATTTTTATCTTATTTACCACAGCACACTCTGTTGACCACTACTTAGAAACTTGAGGTGAAGCTAAGTCAGCCACAATAAACAAAGGAAATTACAAGTAAGCTGTAACTGGTGAAGAATCTAAAAAAAGTGTATACTAGACCAGTGGCTCCATACCAAGATGAATAGGAGTCCCCTAATGATAGAAAAGGCAAGAAAGGAGGAACAAAGCATTTGTTATGTAACAATAGGCTAACTGCTCCTCACTTTCATCATTTTTGCTTTATTCTCCTTAGATGCAGGTACCTTTGCCCTTTGGGTCCCTGAAATAAAATAATCTAAGAGAAAAATAAACCAATAGCTTGCAAGGTGGAGTAACTTCTTCATATAAAGAGCTTAAATAATCAATTTTTAGGAAAAAAATTCATTAGTAGCTTTTTTATTTAGATCAGAAGATCAATAGCACTCTCATATCTATAATCTTAAACACGTAGCCTGTTAGTTTTCCTGGTAGCTAGTTAGGCTAACCAGTACAGATCCCACTGCTCCCATTCAAGAAATATTCCAAAACACAAGATATTTACACTAATAGACTGCCGTACACTTTATTTTGTGTGAGCTTTAGAGGTGCTTTATGCTAAGCTAAGCTAAGTTAACCCGTTTCTGGCCCAAGATACATATTTAACATGCAAATAATAAGAGTGATTACCACCCTTTGCATCCTACTCTTAGCAAAAGGGTGAATAAGCACATTTTGGTCACAAGCCAAAAAGGTTGGGAACCACTGCATCAGTAAGATCTGCTGGAGGATAAAACTCAGTTAAATGTGGAAAAACCTCAGTCCATGGGGGTGACTAATGCAATCTGATAACTTACAAATACGCCTAATTGTCTATTAAATCGTGGATCTCTTTGATTGGGTTGAGAGCCATCACAATGTAGTGCAATTCAGGTGACAGCAGCTTCATTAACGAAACAGGAACATTCTGCAGTAAGGGTTTGGAAAAAATCGCACTAAGCCAGACAGGATCAGTGCAATTAACAGGAATCTCTAGATTATCCCAAAACCTACAATGTTAGAAAACAGGCAAGTGCTGATTTGGGGCAAACCTTTTGTGCATGGCCGCATGTACATTACAGCAGGTAGATATGTGTGCACATACGTAGGCACAACACACACAGAAGCGCTCATATTCACATCCACACAAACAGAGCATTTGCAGTTCCATTTAAAACATTTCATTTGTGACACTGACTCTGAAACTTTCCAATGTAGCTTCACTGTCAGTTCATCTGCATAGAGGCACATAAGTGTGGCTAAAACAGGTTTTTAAAAATTACAGTAAGGAGCAGGACTAAGAAAGGGTTAATTAAATATCTTGAGTGTTTTCAAATTAAAACAAAAACCTAAACATCACTCATGTTCAATGTCTGGGCTGAAAGTCAGTCAAGTCATAAAAGATATCTAAATTTTTACTTTCATAAAAAAAAAAAAAAATACACTGGGTTCATAGGTTGTGCATTTTAGGTGAGAAAAACAAGCATTAGCTTAGTCAGCAGTCAGTTAAAGCCGCAGGCTGCAACTGTAGGCGAGGAGATATATCAAACCTGGGTACAATAGTGCAAACCTGAGCAAATTTTTGTTTTTCTGATCTACTTAATTCTATTAACTTTACCTCAGGAAAACAAAGGCCCACTTCACACATGTAACCAGTGTCAATTATACCTGTAAGGCATCAGCTTTTGTCCTCTCTCATACTAAACAATTTAACTGATTTTTTTTTTCCACACAACTCTTCTAAACTGTGGCCACACGGAAAAAGTTTTACTCAAAAAAATAAAACCCTGACACAAAACAGAAAAGTGTTGACGCATTTTAAAACAGATTTTTGGAGCAAAAAGAATTAGTCAGATGATTTGTTTATACTACCACTTGTGTTGATAACATTAAACAGGGGCTTTAACTTTCATTTATGCATTATATTAGATATTAAATAAAATAATCATGTAAGGAACTTCATTCTGTGGATAACCCTGTCATATTGTATAGAAATGACAATATAACTAGTTCTATTTTTTATTTTTGAGGAAAGCTCAACTGGATGACTGCCAAGCAAAAGGAGGGAACTGATCTTTAACCCACAAGTCACTAGTTTTTTTAAGAAAATGAGTCTGCTTCCTTTTCAAATGGGATGCAGTCACACAGTAAAGTGCATGAATGAAAAGGGCTTCTGGGAAAAAACAGTAACCACTTTCCAGTTGACAATTCATGGTCCTGACACCCTGATGTGGAAAAACCTGCACATCTGGCAGTCTGTTGGGATCAGAGCGAGTACTGTCACCCAGGTCTGAGAGGACTGGAACAGAGCGGTAGTCGGTCACTACAATCATGGTCGCATTGCACTCTTCCTTCTTTTGTCTCTGAGTTTCCTCTTTTACCAACACTAAGGCCCACCTCCCTCATCTTCTTGTTCCTCCATGTTTTTGCATGCCATCCTCTCTCTCCGCTCCGCCAGCCGCAGACACCGAGGGCAGCCTTTACCTGTCTGGAAGCAGCTGCGATGGTAGCATGCGTGGCACTCTGAAAAAGGCAAAACAAGTGCCAGTAATTTAAAAGTTCAAAGCGTTTACAGCAAAAATGTCTTAACAGAAGAAGATCATGCCATTGACAGAGAGCAGCTCCCATGTGCTAAACCAAACACCAAACTAATCTGACCAGTTTGCCCACATTGAGATGCAATGTCCCAGTAGAGCAGCCAATCACGATCAGAGCTGATCAAAAAAAAGTGAGGAGAGGAGTATAAAAGGCTCACAAGGTAAAGGCAGCAAGGCAGAACGCAGCAAGAAGCAGGACTGTGAGAAAAGCATAGACGCACTCACCACACCCTAAACCAGTTCTGACACAGCTTGTTTTTTCGCAACTCTTCATTCTGTCCACTAATCTGCTTCAACAGATAGTTACTGTAACCCCTGTCTGAAATGTTTTTTTCCTTTGTTTCCTAAAGAAAAATTTAATGAAAATGTGATGAAATGACAGGAAACTCAAATTCAAAAATAGTTTATTTCAGGTTCACATGAAGATGGAGCTTAAATAATAGCAGGCAAATGTAAAAGCAACTAAAAAGAATAAATAACACATTCATTCTCAAACAATAAACACCCGCACAATTACATGTCCTTCAACAAAATACAAATTATATATAAGTAAAACGCTTAAAAACAATCAGATGAGGCACCACAACCTAAGTCAATCAACAATTGAATGAAACACTATCTCAGAAAGGGATGAACCAATCAAAGAAATCAACTGAAGTATTATTTGGTTGTAATGAAAACCTCTACAAGCTCAAGGGGAACGTGTGACAGACTGCAGTTACAAATGTGCAAAGTAAAATTCAGGACCAAACCAAAACACATATCAAAGAAACAGCACTCTGGATCAAGTTAACATCTATAGTAAAAGAACTCCTTTTACAAAATACTGTGTAGCAGCAATCCAGCTCTTGGTGCAGTGCTGAGCTGAGAGCCAAAGAAAGGAAGCTAAGCCACTGATGAAACACCACCACCACCAGAGCCTGAGCCAAAAGATGTCCACTGAGAAACAGCTATCAAAATGCCTGCGCTTCACCAGCTGTGCAAATGTCAGAACCAACGCCAATAAACACTACCACCACCATAGTGCCAGCAACTCAGTGCCAAAAGCGAAGAATGAGAAACTTCAACTACCAGACAGTTGAAAGGATTAAGAGGGAGGCAGAAATGCAATGCAATAGTTTGACATTTTGGAAAGCCAGGTCTGCTAAGTATGAGGCTACTACTGAGAAGAAGCATCCAGCCAAGAAGTGCCTGGCACATGACCCCAGCAAAACTACAATTGGTCACAAGTTTTTACAATTTGGTTGTTTTTTTCCCACAAATTAAGCAAATGCAAACATATGTTAAGCAGTCAGGTAGGCATATATCATCAACTTCAAACAAAACCAAGCTGGTTGTTTCCTCCCATTTCCAGTCTTTATGCTAAGCTAAGTTATCTTGATGCTGGCTTTGACTTAACATTCACAGTATAAATTAAGTGTTAAAAAATGTTCCACACCAACTATCTGCAGGAAAATAAATAAGCATGTTTCATAAAAAGTTAAACTACTCCTTTATTTTTTAATAATTACTGTAACTCTAGTTTACTAGTTATTGTAAACATGACTGTCATGACACCGATAAAAAGATGCATTAATCAGTGGTCAATATCTGAACATATAAAGCTACTGTTTTATCCAGACCCACCAAACGTTAACGGTTCAGCTATGTAGTGCACTCTGATTTGGCTGATTGTTGTTTTACTGTGCAACTTCTGAGCCTGTTCTCCACTTCTTTACAGGAGACTGTACTTCATGCCCTTAGTAGCTTGAATATATTACACCTTAGCCTTTTGTTGCTCTTGCTCAGACTCCCCTGTATGATCTACTTCAGCACTCTCTCCACCTTCTGTCCCGCTCTCCTTTACTGTTCCTTCCCTCATATTCCTGCCCCTGGTTTCTCTCCTGGCTTTGTGGGTTTTATGACCTCTCCATTTAGCACGGGTTATGATGGCTGGCTGTTGCTCAGTATCTACCTCTCTTTTTCCACCACTTTTGTCCTCCTCTCCCTTGGTTTTGTCTCTGGAGAAAAGAGCCGACAGCTGCTGCGGTTTGAGCAGTTTTGTAGCTGTAAATTTCTCAGATTCTGTCTTTACTGTTTCAGCTGCCTCAGTTTTGCCTTTGCTGTGCTTTTCATCACTTTCCTCAGCATCAGACCTAGCTTTCCCTTCCTCTTCAGTTTCCATCACATTCCCCAAAAATCTTTTTTTAGACTCTTTCTCTTGACTCACTCTTTTCAAGAAACCCTTTGCTACATTGGGTATCCCTGATACTGTCCAACGTCCTTTCCTCTCTTGTACTACTTCATCTAGATTCTCCGTACTGCTGCACGTTTCACTGTCGCTACCCTGTCTGTCTCCTTTTGAGATGCTCTTCTTTAGTCTGTCTATTTGAAAAACTTTTAGAAAGAAGTTTACTTTTTCCCTTCTTGCATGTCCATCTCTCCTGTCCTTACTCCTTGTTGCCTCTTTTCTATATACTTCCCCTTGATCCTTTCCTCGCTGCTCTCTCTCTTCCTCCCTCTCTGACTCTGTCCCACCTGTCATCTCCTGCTCTTCCTCACTTCCTTTACTCCTGGAGACAGCTTTTACCAGTTTTTCAGGGGTGAACGCTGGGAATATTCCCCCTCTTTCCTGTGTCTCTTCTGCCATGTCCCTTGACTCCTCTTGCTCTCCACCTATTTCCCCCTGATCCAATTCTAGCTCTAAACCCTCCTCCCCTCCCTCCCCTTCTCTCCTGTCTTGAGAAAGGACCTTTGCCAGCCTACGAGTTTTCAAAATCTTCCAGTCTCTCCAGGTAAGTGGAACAGAGAAGTGGGAAGAGGGGGCTCTTGAGCCACCCAGGCCTGGCAGAAAGGGCTCACCTTCGCAGCGCTGGCACTTGTTCAGCTGGAAAGGGAAGATGATGTCTTTGTCATTGCCGCAAAACTCACACACAAAGCCCTTCGCCTGGCACAGCTGGGGAAGATCAAAACAAAGATGACAGAAAGCCCAGATTTTTTTTTTAATACCTGGTATTTGACTATACAACAGCTGAGTAACAGTTCTTGCTCCATCTGATCAGTAACCTTTATTAAAATGTTTTAATCACTACATACTAGAAGAAAGGGCAAAAAGTAGCTGGATGATTATCTTACCACACAGCCAGCTACGTGCATGGTACCGAGTTTAAGCAGCGCTTTCATTCGAGGAGCCAGTTCCCCATTGCGCACAGCAGTGAGGTCATTGAGGGAGAAGAGGTGAAGATCCTCGGTCAGGTGACCTGGCAGGCTGTCGAACTGGTCCAGCACCCTAAAGGGACACACATACACACAGATGCACTGGTGATGAAGTGTCCTTGCAAGGAAAATGACTTGGTGCACAAAAGATTCTGAAATTTCAGTGAAACTCAAAACTATGCACAGACAGACATCTTACTCTTTAGCAAAGCGACAGGTCTTGAAGAGAGTTTTCATGTGAAATAGCTGCACCCTCAAAACCTAAACAACAAAATGGAAAAAAATATCTAGTTACTTCAACATACAAAGAACAAGCATACAGCCATAAAGTGCATGAACATTCAGCTTCACTTTCCATTTACAGCATCTGTGCTGTTGAAGTATTTAATGTTTAAAGTCTCTGCCAGCTGAGCATCAGATCTCTCCACTTTCTATT